TGTCATATTGCTATAACCTGTGCCGGGCGTGTGGATCAATATCTACTGTATTCATACAGACGTGACACCACGATGACATGTTGTTATTTATCTGGCTTATATATGCCTTTGGTATTGCCCGCCATTCCGCTGGCGGTAGTTGGGCCACTTTGGCAGTCGTTGGGCCACGTTGGCGGTCTCTATGCCACCTAGTCTGTCTCTGGGCCATGTTGGCGGTCGCTGGAACACGTTGGCGGTCGCTGGAACACGTTGGCGGTCGCAGGAACACGTTGGCTGTCTCTAAGCCATGTCGGCGGTCGCCGGAACACGTTGGCTGTCTCCAGGCAATGTTGGCGGTCGCTGGAACACGTTGGCTGTCTCTAGGCCATGTTGGCGGTCGCCGGAACTCGTTGGCTGTCTCTAAGCCATGTTGGCGGTCGTTGGGCCACGTTGGCGGTCGATGGGCCACGTTGGTTTTCGCTGGGCCACGTTGGGTCATGTTGGCGGTAGTTGGGCCACTTTGGCAGTCGTTGGGCCACGTTGGTTGTCGCTGGGCCACGTTGACGACCGTTGGGCCAGGTTGGCGGCTTCTAGAACGCGTTGGCTGTCGTTGGGCCACGTTGGTAGTCGTTGGGCCACGTTGGCGGTCCATGCTTTGCCGTCCCGTCTAAATTAAGCTGTAAGCGTCAAACCCTTCCCAGGACGCCAAGCTGTTAGGAAGCAAAGTCACTGAAGACCCACATATGTACGGTTGATGTTGACTTTCGGCTTCTAGTTATTGTTGGACTTACCTTAAGTTTTAATACAGAAATAGATTTTAATCCATTACTAATTGTAATTGATGTAATTTTATTTAGGCTTGTATCTGGAGATGGACCTTCTAAGCGTATATATTGTGCTGAAGTGTTCACCATCAAGCATTCTGTTCGACTGTGTCTACTTTTCAAATGCATGAGACTCACATTATGAGGCGATAAACCTGAAATACCTGTTTTCTCGCGTGTGCGGGCATCTCATTGTTAGCTACCTCAGGGGCGTTGACCTGTACCATAAATCCATAGAGCTATCAAATGTGAATGACGGATTGCTTGTTTTTTAATTTGGTGCTATGGCTTTATTTCTGTTTGTAAATGATGATGTAATGAATAAATATGTGTTTAAAAGAACTCATTAAAACTTTGTACTTAAAAATGTTTATGCATACAGACTTAATGCCGATGCGACGTGAGACTGAACTCAACTCAACAGTAACGTCCAGGTCTCAATGGAACCCAACTCATTTGACTCTGCTTGCCCCCTAGTTGAAAACATACAGTTTTTGATTGAATGATGTGATTCACAGTAAGGCAAAGTGGAGAGTCTGAGTCTGAGTTTAGTTTTACGCCGCTTTTTTTTTAGCAATATTCCAGCAACATCACGGCGGGGGACACCAGAAATGGGCTTCACACATTGTACCCATGTGGGGATTCGAACCCGGGTCTTCGGCGTGACGAGCCAACGCTTTAACCACTAGGCTACCCCACCGCCCCCAAAGTGGAGAAGAAGAGGAGAAGAAGAGGAAAGGGCGCTTGGCCATTCATCTAAAAAGTCCATGGCCATTTGACGTTCAACGACTGTTGCTTATCTCTCTCAGATGTGTTGGTTACCCCGTTAACGATTTAATTTAATTTTTTTAATTTTTTTTTTATAATTGATAGGGTTATGCTTAACTCAGCGGCTCACACTGGTCGCCACGTCCTAGCGACCAGGCGATTTGCATCGACATCGACATGATCGATTTGCTACTTCTCACACGATTCGATCTACCGATATTCGTGGCGATCCCATAATATCTCGCGGTATTTTGTTTCCATGGTATCAACATGTCTGAAGCAGACTTAGCAGCAGTTATCTGTTGCGCGATACTATGTGAAGACGACTGCAGTGACTTTTCGGGAAATGCCAAGCTGATCGACGTCAGCGCAGCGTTCCTCTTTTCTCGTTTGGAATAATCCCTGCTCGTGATATTCCATAGAGTTTCGTGACTCAGAAAATTCGGGTTTCTTTGAAGCATGTTTGGCGCTTGTATGTAAACATTTACCACGTGACACCAAAACGCAATTTGATTGGCCGCGCCACATCCACTTGCCGAATAAGGAGGCTCCCCACACTCGCGACACAATCGCTGCGGCCGATTTGTACCGCTTGTTCAATTCGATTAACTCGGTCGAAAATTCGGCATATCGATACATCTGTAATTATAGACGCAGTGCAAACCCCGCAGTCGCAGGGATGAAGAGGAGCGCCACCTATTGGGAGAAGTTGCTTCACTCCGTCTTTCTGTTCTGGGCGTTCTTCGCCACGGTAGGAGTGATCTATGTGTGTTTGTCAGGGTAAAAGGGATTTGTGTGAGTTTGTCAGGGTAAATGAGATTTGTGTGTTTGGTACCTTGACATGAATTATGTGTGCTCATAACGGTAACTGGTACATACGTGTGTGTGCTACGAAAACAGGAATTTATGTGTATTTGCTACGATAATACAAATGTATGTATATTGGTTAGGCTAACAGGCATATGTATGTGTTTGCTGTGGAAAGAGTGAGTGGGTGAGTTGAGTTTTACGTCACTTTTAGCAATATTCCAGCAATATCACGTGTGTAAAGAGAAGCCGTTGTGTTTGTCTTGTGGTTTAAGGGACTTAGGTGTGTTTATTGCGGTGAGAAGGATTAATGTGGATTTGTAACGGTAAACGTGTGTGCGCGTATGCAAGCGTGCGTGCGTGTGTGTGTGGTAGAGAGATTTGCTAAGGGTGCGGGGCTTGATTAATGTGTTTGTTATAATGAAGGTACTAGTGCCTATTTTCACGAGGTGTGCATGCGTGTTTGTCACAGAAAAACAGATTGATCGGTCTTTCTCGCACTCAGCCAACAATGGGTTTTTTTCTGTCGTGCAAATCACGGTGAGAGAGATGTATGTGTTTTAGTTGCGGTAAGAGAGAGGCGTGTACGTCACAGAAATCTATGCGTAACACATATGTATGCGTAACAGAGATGTATGCGTAACAGAAATGTATACGTGTTTGTCGTAGAAAGAGATTTATGCGTGTTTGTCATGGTACGTGAGATGTATGCGTGTTTGTCATGGTGAGTGAGATGTGTGCGTGTTTGTCATGGTGAGTGAGATGTATGCGTGTTTGTCATGGTGAGTGAGATGTATGCGTGTTTCTCATGGTGAGTGAGATGTGTGCGTGTTTGTCATGGTAAGTGAAATGTATGCGTGTTTGTCATGGTAAGACAGATGTGTGCGTGTTTGTCATGGTAAGTGAGATGTATGCGTGTTTGTCATGACAAGAGAACTGTATGCGTGTTTGTCATGATGAGAGAGATGTATTCGTGTCTGACATGGTAAGTGAGATGTATGCGTGTTTGTCATGGTAAGTGAAATGTATGCGTGTTTGTCATGGTAAGTGAGATGTATGCGTGTTTGTCATGGTAAGTGTGATGTATTCGTGTTTGTCATGGCAAGTGAGATGTATGCGTGTTTGTCATGGTAAGTGAGATGTATGTGTGTTTGACATGGTAAGTGAGATGTATGCGTGTTTGATATGGTAAGAGATATGTATGCATGTTTGACATGGTAAGAGAAACGTATGCGTGTCTGATATGGTAAGTGAGATGTATGCGTGTTTGTTATGGTATTGAGATGTATGCGTGTTTGTCTCGGTAAGTGAGATGTATGCGTGTTAGTCATGGTAAGTGAGATGTGTGCGTGTTTGCCATGGTAAGTGAGATGTATGCGTGTTTGTCATGGTAATTTGGATGTATGCGTGTTTGTCATGGTAAGTGAGATGTATGCGTGTTTGACATGGCAAGAGATATGTATGCATGTTTGTCATGGTCAGAGAGATGTATTCGTGTCTGACATGGTAAGTGAAATGTATGCGTGTTTGTCATGGTAGGTGAGATGTTTGCATGTTTGTCATGGTAAGCGGGATGTATACGTGTTTGACATGGTAAGTGAGATGTATGCGTGTTTGACATGGTAAGAGATATGTATGCATGTTTGACATCATGGTCAGATAGATGTATGCGTGTCTGACATGGTAAGTGAAATGTATGCGTGTTTGTCATGGTAAGTGAGATGTATGCGTGTTTGTCTCGGTAAGAGAGATGTATGCCCTTTTGTCATGGTAAGAGAGACGTATGCGTGTCTGACATGGTAAATGAGGTGTATGCGTGTTTGTCATGTTAAGTGAGATGTATGCGTGTTAGTCATGGTAAGTGAGATGTGTGCGTGTTTGCAATGGTAAGTGAGATGTATGCGTGTTTGTCATGGTAAGTGAGATGTATGCGTGTTTGTCATGGTAAGTGAGATGTGTGCGTGTTTGTCATGGTAAGACAGATGTATGCATGTTTGTCATGACAAGAGAACTGTATGCGTGTTTGTCATGATAAGAGAGATGTATTCGTGTCTGACATGGTAAGTGAGATGTATTCGTGTTTGTCATGATAAGAGAGATGTATTCGTGTCTGACATGGTAAGTGAGATGTATGCGTGTTAGTCATGGTAAGAGACAAATATGCATGTTTGTAATTGTAAGTGATGTGTATCCATGGGTGTTTTTATATGGTAAGAGACATTTATGCATGTCAATGTCGATTTGAGAGACCTATTTTTGTTTGCCACGGTAAGAGGTATTTTTGATTGTTTGCAGAGGTACGATGGATGAATGTGTGTTTGTAGTAGTAAGATACACTAAGATAGGAAGATGTACATTGTACTTATTCTTGTTTGTCACGTAAAAGACACATGCATGCACTTTTGTCACCGTTAGACGTGTAGACATATGTGCGTGTTTGCCACGCGCGGAGACATGTGAATAGACGTTCACGAAAACCTTGTAAGGCTTAACCTTCCTATTGTTTGTGGGATGTGTTTTCAAAGTTTATCAGCATGAATATCATTACACGTATTTCTTGTATGTTGTGAAGCGTCCACAGCGTTTTTGTATAGCTCAGCCTTGCTAATGTTCGTAGTTCGCATTTTTTAAGTTCATGAACATAAAAATCCTTACACGTATTTCCTGTATATTGTGCAGGGTGTCCACAACGCCATTCACGGCCCCGCCCTCCTCGACCTGGCTCAGATCACTCATACCAATGTAGAGCAGGCATCTATGTTCTTCACCGCCATGGCTGCTGGGGGACTACTGGGGACGCTATGCGTGAGCTGGCTCTTTGATCGATTCCCCCGCCACCAGTCCCTCCTTCTCGGCGTCGCCAACGTCGGTGTCGGTATCACGACGGCGGGAATACCTTGCAGTGTACAGTACCCCCTCACAATAGCGCTCTGTTTCGTCAACCAGTTCATCAGTGGTGGAATGGAAACAGGTATTGTATGTCCAGTGACTGACTGACTGAGTTTAGTTTTACGCCGCCTTTAGCAATATTCCAGCAATATCACGGCGGGGAACACTAGAAATGGGCTTGACACATTGTACCCATGTGGGGAATCGAACCCGGGTCTTCGGCGTGACGAGCCAACGCTTTAACCACTAGGCTACCCCACCGCCCCGTATGTCCACTGTGCTGTGATAACCCACTAACAATTCAATGCTCCATGGACCCGTGAAGATCCGAGCTTGAATTGGTGTTCTGTAACCCATGCTTGTCGTAAGAGGCGACATACGGGATCGGGTGGTTAGGCTCGCTGACTTGGTCAACACATGTCATCGTATCTCAATTGCGAAGGTTCATGCTCATGCTGTTGATCACTGGATTGTCTGGTCCAGACTCAATCATTTACACATCACCGCCATATAGCCGGAATATTGCTTAGTGCGCCGTTAAACAACAAATTGAACAAACACCAATGGTTCATAGTTTAACGATCAACGCCGTCGAGTTCGATGACATGCCATCAGGTCAGGGCCAGAACACCTTCCTGATCTATTTTGTTACAACAAACAGAGGTTGCTGACAACCAGTTCCAACACCAAATCCCGGTGTGGACATATATCATTAACCTTGGTAAAATGTTGGTTCAGACCATCTTGATATGCATAACACAAACATAGCGGGCTATCTGGTTTTAACCAAGTCCAGCGACGATGTGAATGTCTTTAGCAGCCTGGTTAACATGGCATAATCACCAAAAACACCAGGCTAGGTATTCTCGAAACGTTCGTAACGCTACGAACTTCTTAAGCCCATTCTTAACACATTGGCTACGATCAAAGTTAAGAATTCTTAGGGCTACGAACGTTTCGACAATAAGGGCCCATGTTAGTAGGATGCATTGGTCAATCACTCAGTACAGATTCTGCCGACCCCCCACCCCCCCTCTCTACTGTCACTTCAGTTAAGCATACATCTATCTTCAACCATTATATTCCATCAATGACATATGCGTATAAAAATATTTGAAACAGCTGTCCACTGATCATCGGTGCCATTAAACCGTTTTGCAAACTGTCATTATACAGGAAATGTCTGTAAATATTGTCGTACACATCGTTTTTTCTTCTTATACATATTCTAGCATCAGGTTCTATATATTCATGATATGTACTTTATATCTAAATGGCAATGTCTTGGTATGTCGTGGTATGTTTCGGTCTGTCTGTGAACGATGTCGTGAACATTGCATTTTGTATTTTGTTCCAGTTGGCAACACTGACATGGTCGCCACATGGGGCAGCGAGAGCAATATGCATCTCCAGTTCATGCACTTCACACTGGCAGCTGGAGCGACAGTAGCACCTCTCATTTTGAAACCTTTCCTTGCAAAATCCCAGCTCCAAACACCATCTGACCTGACCTCCAATGGGACCGTATTCCCTTGTTCGATTTCAACAGAAGTTGGTGGATCTCACAGTTCAATGTTCTTCCCTAACACTTCCCTAATGTACAACGATACTACGGTGGTTTTGCCTCTTCATAACCAGACCATATCGTGTCCAGAACCTCCCAGTCTCATCCGTTACGCGTACCTCATCAGCGGACTCATGTCGGTAACAGCTGCAGTTCCTTTTCTTGTGGAAGCTTGTAAGACTGACAAGAAATCGCGACCTCAACCAGCTCAAGCAGACCAATTAGCCAGACCAACTCTACCCCCGAGACTCAGATATCCAGTGTTTATATTCGTAGGATTGTTTTACCTTTTCACTTGTGCCGCAGGTGGGTCGTATATAGCTTATCTCGCCACCTTCTGTGTAAAGCAGCGTGGGTGGACGAGGTACCTCGCGTCATTGATCACAACCGCCTTCTGGGGGAGCCTCTGTCTTTTTAGGCTGATAGCGGTTGTCCTGTGCAAGTTCCTTTCTCCTTTGACGATGATGAACGTGTTCCAGGTGACGATGCTGCTGTCGATGCTGATGGCGTGGGTTTCTGTTCACTTGGACTCGGATGCTGGTCTCTGGGTATCTGTTATTGGAACAGGGGCATCAATATCAACCTTATTTGCCTCCGGGATTTCTTACGTCGATGGTGACGTCATGCCCGTAACGGGTCGTGTGACGACAGTCGTCATGATTGGTTCAAATATTGCGGGGATTGTTAACCCGGTCGTGATGGGGCACCTGCTACAAGAAGTATCGATTATGTGGTTCCTGTATGTGCCTATCATTGAACATTGTGCTGCGTTTGCTGCATTTCTGGGTCTGGTGTTGCATTCCAAAACGTTAATCAGAAACTACATACAGAAGTGTTCCGAGCTGACTCAAGCTGAGGTAGATCTTGACACTTCTGTAGGGAAGAACACATACGAAGCATGAGGACTTTAGTAAGGAAACTGACTCTATACATTTGCTTTAGATACTACCACCTCTGAAATGAAAAAAGAAAGAAATTTAAAACAAAACATGATTTTATGATTGTAAATCACTAAAAAGCAGATCTTGTGACGAAAATCGTCCATGAGTGTGAACAATCCTTGAACGCACGCTCGAGGTTTCCTTGATAAGTTCAGAATCCCATACAGCAAGACTTGTCTTGATACACATTGCCCTAAAATATTGAAGGTAATTTTATCCCCACCCGTAAGAGAATTCATGGAAATGAAAAGAGTCCTCCTTTAAGCCATCACCTCATGGCTTGAGATTCCGGCTAGAGGTGTGTTCATGTTTGGGAAATACACTGGTATTTGGTCACATACCTATACAATCCCCTTGCGGTAGGAAACTTACTTACGTTGCATTGCCAGCATCTGGATGCATATACTCTTAGCCAAGCGTTGTGTCAAACCTCTCACCCTTTGAAGCTGATGCACCATTTACCAAAGTGAATTCTGCATGCTGTTTTTATAATCAGAGTTTGTGAAGAAATGGCCATCATTCACTTCGCTAGACTGCCAGTTTTACAATGGCAGTGTTAAAGTCATGGCGATCGCTAAAAGTACGATCATTACAATCATGGTATACTGCACTTTCTCTCGATTACCATACATCGCACACTCTCTAACGTACACTTCATGGTGATCAAAAGAGGGTTGTGTATGATGATCAAGGGAAAGAGTAGTGTATGATGATTAAGAGAGAGAGCAGTGCATGATGATTAAGAAAGTGGATAGTGTATGATGATCAAGAGAGGGTAGTATGTGTTGATCAAGAGAGGGTTGTGTATGATGATCAAGGGAGAGAGTAGTGTGTGATGATTAAGAGAGAGAGCAGTGCATGATGATTAAGAAAGTGGGTAGTGTATGATGACCAAGAGAGGGTAGTGTGTGTTGTTCAAGAGAGGGCTGTGTATGATGATCAAGCGAGAGTAGTGTATGATGATCAAGAGAGGGTAGTATGTGTTGATCAAGAGAGGGCTGTGTATGATGATCAAGAGAGAGTAGTGTATGATGATCAAGAGGAAGAGGGAGAGCAGTGCATGATGATTAAGAAAGTTGGTAGTGTGTGATGATCAAGAGAGGGTAGTGTGCGTTGATCAAGAGAGGGCTGTGTATGATGATCCAGAGAGAGTAATGTATGATGATCAAGAGAGGGTAGGGTGCGTTGATCAAGAGAGGGCTGTGTATGATGATCCAGAGAGAGTAATGTATGATGATCAAGAAAGGGTAGTGTGTGTTGATCAAGAGAGGGCTGTGTATGATGATCCAGAGAGAGTAGTGCATGATGATCAAGAGAGGGTAGTGTGTGTTGATCAAGAGAGGGCTGTGTATGATGATCAAGAGAGAGTAGTGTATGATGATCAAGAGGAAGAGGGAGAGCAGTGCATGATGATTAAGAAAGTGGGTCGTGTATATGATCAAGAGAGAGAGCAGTGTATGGTGATGATCACGAAAGGTTCCTGTCAACGTTGGTGTCAAGAATGACTAAGGTTTCAACTGATTACAGCTTTATCAGCATATTCTGGAAGAACACAAGACGCAGCACTTGGACTTTTACAAGGACCTTGAAACTTGTGCGGCGAAAACTACATCTTTACGAGTTATGTTTGATTTTTTTTTCAGGTTGTTAATATATACACGACTAAATGAACATATGCAAACACTACAGAATATCACTGACGTCTGTTTGTGTTTGATTCTTTGTGTCTCCGTCATACAAACCGATCTTTTTACATGGGAGTATGTCGTAATTTGACTCATTTGTACGGAGATGTTTCTAGGACCATGCGTACACACGACCTGTCGATAACACTAACTACACAAGGGAAAGCGATACCGAAGTGTACACACATTCCATAATAGGGCCCGTAGACTTTGTTTGTTCTCATATCAGATACACCTCAGTTTGAGTTAAATATAGCGTTTGTGGTTGTGTTGCAGAACATAATCTTGATCAAACATAGTTTTAGACTGTGATAAGTAGTTGTATAAACCATTCTTCATCAGATCAGTTACCAACGAGTTGACCATAATGTTAACGAATGTCCATCGTTGAAGCTCATGTGGATAATGCAATGAAATAGCCATTTACTGCAGGCCATTCGTAGCGTCTGTGTCGCCTAATGTTTTATGATTGAATAAACACACTAGAGTTTGTGTTGATCCTTGCTTCTGTCATTTAAGCATTTCTGAGAGAATGGGTTGGATTTAAAGTCCATTTCAACAGTATACCATTAACCAACACCATTGTGTCGAAGTTTGATATGTCGAACTTACGGTTGTGTCGAAGTTGAAGCTTGGTCCCCGCTTATTTCATATTAAGTCATCATTTATGGTTGTGTCGCACCTTCATTAGCTTAAAGTATTTGTGTTACTTCGACATAAACGATGTGCCAGCTTAATGTGGGAGACGAGTGATGCAATGGAATCAATGTAAATTGCTGCATTGAATTTGCTGTAGTGAGTGAGTGAGCGAGTGAATGAGTGAGTAAGTGAGTTGGGTTTTCTCCGCTTTTAGCAATCCTCCAGCCATATCACGGCGGGGGACATCAGAAATGGGCTTCACACGTTGTGCCCGTGTGGGGATTCGAACCCGGGCCTTCAAAGTTGTCTATGAGGAATACCTGGTTGAAAGGTTGGTAAAAAACAACCAGGATTCGAACACAGCGAATGGTGGCACCTCGGATGACTAGGGCAGTTGTGTCCCATGCTCTGTTGCCACACATATCACGCACACCGGAACACGTCCAACACGACCAGGAAATGTATACATAGGCGGCTTAATGCGACCAATGTCTTCAAAACCTCTGCTTGTGTAAAACAGCATACAGACTTTACTTTGATAAATGGTGCACCAGTTTCAATGGGAGAGTGGACTTATACAACACTTGGTCTTAACTTGAACGTCGACAGTGAAACAACTGCTTCAAGGTGATGGCAAACACACACTAACCTAAAACGAAATTATCCTTCGGCGCAACAACTTTAACTAATAACAATATACATGTATGTGAACAGTTGGTACACAGATACCAGTGTAAATGTTTGAAGCAAACTGTTGTTTGCTTATATTATAAAAAAAAAATTACTTAAGCACCCCGTGTACTTTTGCAACGAGAGGTTCCAACACGTACATAAAAATTATCGTGGTGACCATGATTTTTTTGCTGATCCGTATGATCTTTTGACTCATAACAAACGAAAAACCCATTGGACTCCATAAGATGTAGTTATGAAATGCTTAAAACACTAGATGATACCGGAGATACTAATTGGGTTTCCTTCGTTAGAACTATTCTTTTTAGTCATGGCTTTGGAAATGTATGGCTCGCTCAAAATGTAAGTAATACACAATATTTCATCGAAGTATTCAAGCAGAGATGCAAAGACATTTATCAACAGGACTGGCATAATGAAATAACGTCATCAACCTGTGTCAACTTTTATTCAGAATATAAATATATTAGTTATTTTGTATTAATACAGAAATTTACCTTTCAAAGATTAAATCACCACATCTTAAGCGTACACTTACTAAATTTAGATGTAACGCTCACAACTTCAAAGTCCAAGTGGTGCGATTTGCCAAACTTCAAATGCAATAGATATCCAATGTCCATTCTGCAATTTATCGCAAGAAGATGAGTACCATGTATTACTTATATGCCCGAAATATTTAGAAATAAGAGAAATATATTTGCCTTATTTTTTCTATAACCAACCGTCGAGACAAAAATTATGTATGCTACTTCGCACAGAAAATATTGACTTGTTGTTTAAGGTAGCCCTTGTGTTGTACCACATACCTATGTTGAGAGAAAAAATATAAATTGTGAATGGGTGTTTATGATTTTATTGATGTTTCTATAATTCGCATATTTACAAGTTGCGCATAAATGCATTGTTATTATTGTAGACATGTACTATTGGCCTCAGGGCCACATATACAAATAAATATGTCTGTCGAGTCTTTTTGGACGGAAAGGGGCGATTGGTGACGAATAAAACGGCGTCATACCTAGCATGTCATACCAGTGATAAATCCGGCACACCCAGATTGATGCTCCTTGGACTATGTCGAAAATAACGGAATACTGTTTTACGCCGCACGAACAATTTTCAAGCAATTTGCTAACCAGTTACTTTGGTTATGCTCGGTGAGCATTCCGAAGCCATTCACATCAAACGCCATAAGCATCTCACCTATTGTATAAACATCTCCTTCATTGTAACTACTCCTGTATTTGTACATCTCTGGCTTCCATTCACTACCCTTTGTGTACTCATTGGCTTCATCAGCTTACTGCCTACCAATTATGGCAATTATGTTGTTTTCTTTGTCACTTATGTTGTCTCATTGTTATATTCAGTATATGTATATATTTATATATATATATATTATACATATATATATATACATTTCCTCCACGTCATGTATCACTCTTGCTTGACAACGGTACAAGAATCTGTATCGAAACGTCGCACTCACGAAATAAAGAAGTTGTTATCCACAAAAATTGTTCTATATTGTACGTCTCAACTTCTAAAATGCCACTCAAACAAATAGTGTGTATCGGTTAATAAATTATTAGATTCCAGACACAGTACAACTCTAATGTTAATGGTTTCATTGTTTTAAAACTGCAGCTCGATAATGCATTTGGTGTTAGGATTGGTAGGATCTTGGCTTGGCTTAGGTACAGGGATAATGGTTGCTTTGTGTCTGGAATCTGGGAATGTTCCATGTTCCCATCTGTTGTTAAGTATACTAAAAACACTCATAATGATTTATTAAGTAGATGTTGTAATAAATGATAATGAATGAGGACCCAAAGCACATGAGCTAATTCACCTGATGATGGAACTAGAATTGGCTAAGAAATATCTTGAAAAAGAATAGAAAGAAGTTGTTATCTAACTCCAGGCTATACTACTGCAACTCCCTGATTTCCGGAACAACCTCCATCAACACACTCCAACGGGTACAAAGCAGAGCTGCACGTCATTTAAACACGACGCCAAACCCTAGCGTAAAATGAAATGTATCCGTACAATGAATTTGTAAGACATCACACAAATTGTACATTTCGAAATATTTTTCTGATCAAACTTGTTTTGCTAAACTGAAGGTCAGAGTGTAAGAAATACTTTAATCGTATGTCACACTTAGTTCGCTGACAATCGCTCTTGTTTTGCCAACCCATTACAGTTTGTTTCTACGGAAAAGCCAGTCAAAGAAATGTTTGGGTTCAGTGGCGTGATGACAATCGCAATCTTCAATACGTTACCGGCGGTTGTTGTCGCGTATGGAGACGTCTTAACGAGGCATACATCCAGGAGGTACCCACGTAGCTGAACCCGTGGGTGGTTCCTCAGTAATAATATGGACTTGTGTTTTGCATGGCGGCAAGATGGATCTCATGGCAGTACATGGCCACTCAATGGTTGCATGACGGCAAGATGGACCTCATGGCAGTACATGGCCACTCAATGGTTGCATGACGGCAAGATGGATCTCATGGCAGTACATGGCCACTCAATGGTTGCATGACGGCAAGATGGATCTCATGGCAGTACATGGCCACTCAATGGTTGCATGACGGCAAGATGGATCTCATGGCAGTACATGGCCACTAAATGGTTGCACGACGGCAAGATGGATCTCATGGCAGTACATGGCCACTCAATGGTTGCATGACGGCAAGATGGATCTCATGGCAGTACATGGCCACTCAATGGTCAACAGGAAGCACTAATGTACCAAGGCCGTGGCACGTTTTGATAACCACCCGGTTGCCCGTCGCCCGATATTCATGGATGGTTTATTCTCATAAAGTCACCAACTTGATAAAACGCTAATCCCTACTGGGTGACTTCGTGCGAATTTCGCTAAATAGTCTATTATTGCAATTACGGGACATAATAGTCAGATTACATTTACTAATCCGGATTAGGACCGAAGGTGACTAGGGGGTTGGGGGCGACAGATAATTGGAACTCTTGTCCGGTAGCAGCAGGTAGACCAAGGGTAACATCTGACCGACGTCTGTAACAGCATGGATGGTGTACAGCTGGTAAAATACGTGAGGCATCACATAAACGTACCATCTGCAAAGAAGGTGTCGGCTTGACACAACTTCTCCAAGTTGGATGTGGTGGCGAATCCCAGGATCTTGTCCTCGTCCACATCTTCAAATGCCAGGAACTGTGCCCCGCCTTCTGTTGTTTGGTACTGCTCAGGGATTACTAGGTCACGACGATGGGATGGTAGAGGAGGAAATGACTTCTTCTTTGCTCTGTACAGGGTGTCTTTCTTCATATGAAACGTAGGTAAGTTGCCAACAAGGGTGGCGTGTTCCGGTGTCAGTCATCACCCCGCATACTGTCTACTTCTTCCTGCAACAGCTGCGGCAGAGGTCTGATCGTGGCCTTGGCTTAACTTTTAGTGTCTCAATGGTCTCTCTCATCTTGATGTCTCACCACTGGTGGGTGGTTGTGGTTCGGGGAGGGTGTCTGGTGAGGATATCACTGATGGTGGTCACGGTCATATGGCAATCCTTGGTCGTACACTTTCATACTAAGGTTTCATCACGTTTCCTTTTGTTGACTCTGTACATGAAACCACCCGAACAAAGATATCTGCCGCCTCTGGAAGTTGGGATAAACTTTTGCATTTGCCATGGTCGGACTTAGTGACGAAAGTGGTCCGTGCCATCTATTTATATTTGTCATAAAATTGTTGAAGAGAGTTCACTAATAAATGTCATGTAATTTACAGTTAACCGTTCAGCTCATTAGCATCTCTCGCTCGAGTGACCAACTGACTTATCCGTTAATCCCTAATTCGTTAATCCTGATTGGATTAGAAACCTCAAAGCAAAATCGCCAATGACTTAGTGCGAATAGTGTTCCCCCTACTGGTGACTTCATGAGAAGACACCTCATGGATGACAACGCTCGACCGCACCGTGCTCAATGTGTCACTTGCAAGTAACACACATTAGGAAAGAACCGCTGTTAGATAATACCTCGTTATATACCTTCTGTTGGTGTAGCGCTAATTACCTGATCCAGCAACAACACAGGAACGTGATTAACATCAAATCACACGTGATCAGTCAATATTTCATTCACAAATGGCTTTCTCGCTGGTCCATAATTATTAACAAACCTGATTTGGAAAGCAAGGTGATTCCCACTGAACAACGATACCAAACACAATTAGAATATCTCTATGCAACGTCTCAGACCCAGGCAAGTGAGCAGTCCAGTAGAGTTACAGATGCTCCAGAATTTATGTTTTTTAAAGGTTTGCACACAATATTAAGATTTATCATCCAAAACTGTGTTCCACAGGAGATATCGCTTGTATGAGATCAAACGATATCTCCTAGGAGATATCGTTTTGACAGTAGATTTTGTACAATGCCCTGACAATGCTATGACGTCATGTACTTGATGACGTCACAATGCTATGACATCGCTGCACTGCAAGTCTAATGGCAGTACCATGTTCAGAGATGTACATTTTTCATTGAAAATTAATGAAGAGTGATTTTGGATGATAAATAGAATCTCACCCTCGTGTCTTCTGATTCAAATATATCAACACTCGTTGATAAAGTAAAAATATCCTCGGCAAGCAGAAATGATTACGTGACACTGACTCGTGAAACGTGATCCTCATTGACCTCTGGATTTCTCGCTGGGTAATTAGGAATAACAGCTGGACGGAAGACAAGGTGGTTCCCATTGATTAACATGACCACATTCAACGTAAGCAATGCTTCACACCCAGACAAGTGAACTGTCCAGTAGAGTTACAGATGCTCCAGTAATTAACAACTGGCTCCGAACAAGAACAACATCTTGGACTCAATTTATAACCACGTTTGTGGTTTGTAAGAAATTAGCGTCGATGGCGAACCAGACGGAGACGATCTCTGAAAGGGGGAGCAACCCTGCCCTTGGTGCTGTCTACATCTGCCTGGCTATCACCATCATGGTCACCAATGTCGTCATCATTGTAATCAATGTCAAGTCACGGCATCTTCAAATACCAACGCTACATATTCTGACGGGGATCGCTGTGTTTGCTTTTGTGACGGGACTTCATCTGCTCATGTACGACGTGCCGTTATTGTTTTCTGCACAAATGACATGTAACAGCACGTTTACCACCGCTGGGACAATCATGGCAAATCTTCTACAAGCATTGAACTTTTTCCAGGCGACTCTGGCTGTACTTGATCGGTACGTTGCTGTCTGCCATCCTCTCCGCTACATCTCCATCGTCACGGGAAGGAACATTCTGCTCGCCATGTTTGCATATGCTGGACTGTGTTTCGTTGTGGTTTCTTTCGGACTGTCAGTGTCAATGGAGCAATCAAGTCGACAAGGACTTCAGTGTGTCCTTAATTTTTCTAGCATTTATTTGAAGGTATTCTTTACCAGTCTTTTACTTATTGTACCGACCTGTGTCATAGCCTTGTCATACATACAAATATGCAGGGAATACAGAGCCCGATGTACTGAACCGTCAATGGCCTACGGTGGAGCACCATTCAGATTCCCGTGGCTGATCACCTGCTACCTGGTTTGGGGAGCCATTTCTTTTATACCTTCAGTCGTGGTTGACAGTTTCCGCTTTGTCCCTGCAGATTCCTATATTTCTTATGGCTTGAAGATGTTAAGAAGATCAAACTGCATCATGAATATATTCATCTTTACTGGAACGTCCAAACCGTTCAGGGAGCAGGTCTTGAAAATCTTCTGTCCCTCGTATTACTTACGACAACGCCGAAACGCAGCAATGAGAGCGGCAGTAGAAGACAACAAGCACGTGACCTCTTCACAACACACACTTGACCTCTCCACAATACACATATGATCTGTCTACAGCACACTTATCCTAGTCACAAAATTATACGTGATCTCTCAAAACGCGTTATGTGCTTTTTTCACACCACACCACACCACACCACACCACACAACACCACGCCGCACCACGCCGCACCACACCACACAACACAAAACCACAACACATTACACAAAGCCATACCGCACCACACAACACAACACCCCGTACCACACAACACCGCACCGCACCGTACCACACAACACCGCACCGCACCATATCACACCAGACGACAAAACACAGCACCTCACTACACTAGACGACACCACATCACACAACACAACACCAAACCAAACCACACAACACTACACTAGTCGACACCACACAGCACCTCAACACTCACGATATGTCCACAACACAGTCTTGGTCTCTGTGACCTCTCAGCTACACATGTAACTTTTCTACTTTTCAACATCACAATGTAACTTTTCTACTTTTCAACATCACAATGTAACATCAACCGTTATCTTCGTTGACTTTGATATCTGAAGAGCAGTAAGACTGTATGGATGACATATTCAATTTCTCTGGAACACTTTGAGGCCATACAGTCCCTATAAAGGTAAGCACTGCTTTCTTAGTGTTCAAGTATACATCGGCCATCGATCGAAATTGTGTCTTGAATTATTTTCCCGCTTATTTGTTGTCTTAGTGGCATAGTATGTGACTCAGTACTCGTATCTTGATAATTCAGTTCTTTACTGCATGAAATGCCATAGGCCCATATACAAAAGAGATACATATCAACAATGGCATATATGATCAATTTTCTAACTAATCAATAATTTTCTTAACAAAAATGCATTGTAAATAAATAGGGCAATTTTGTGTTGTTTTCGAGGTTTTGCAGGAAAGTAAGGAAGACAATAGTTTAGCATTGATTTGAGATACAGGTCCTTACTTCTTAGATTTTCATATACAGGACAAATAAACATAAAATGGAATTCATCTTCAATAATGTAACAGAATGGACATATTTGGGGATGGGGGTGGGGGGTGTTGGTGGGGGGTTATTAATAGGAAATTAACTTCCACGGTTAATTGATAAATCATTAAGGCCTAATCTAAAACGCATAAAAAAATTATGTATCGAAGGTGACTCAAGCAACGACTTAAATTGACAATATGAATCATATCTAGAACTTTCTTTGATAGTTGAATGTCATTCCTGCTTAAACATATCAATAGCCCGCACACGAAACTGTCTAATAAACATATTACATTGCCAACTGTGTGCTCTGCAGGTTGATTGGAACACCTCATAGAGGTTATGCCAGGAAAGGTGGCCCATGAGACGCCTGGAGACTGCACGTTCAATGAGTTTGGGTATGAACGCTAAGTTTGAAATAGGCCTGTAGTTTTTTGGATCCTCACAATCAAGCCTTGATGTCGAACTAGAGCTGACTTGAGTACACTTATGATATAACCAGATGAAGTAGAAGAGTTAATAATCAGCACTAATGTTGGTAAGAGTACGTCGGGACAGTCATATAGAAGGTCAGTTGGAATCGGATCATGTGAACAAGTTGTTCTTTTTGCAGATTTCAGTAGTTTAGTAACTTTAGTGTCAGTGAAACTATCAATATGAATAAGAGGCGTGCCATCAAGCATTTTTTGAGGAAAATCAGCTTCATCCACAGTCGCAGAAGATGAAATATTGTCATGAATGTCTTTGATCTTTTTGTAGAAATAATCCGAAAATGTCTGTGCTGTTGCTTCATTGTCATTAGATGTCGGAAGTGGCGATGCCCAGTGTTTACCCAAGATACTGAACAAAAGTTTGAACAGCAACTTTGGACTTGACTCGTTGACTTCAGTGTGAGAATGTTGATTTGGCTGATGACCGTTGTTGAGTGATTTCTGGCTGAAATATACATTTGGCGATGAATCTCCAGGAAAGATTTTTTTCCATCTGCGTTCTGCTTTCCTCTTGTCTCCTTTCGCTTCTCGAACTTCAGGTGTGAAGTCCCAAGAAGATGTTTTAGTAACTGGTATGACTCTTGTCCTTCACTGGAGCGTGTTTGTCTAGCAGCTCAGATAGAAATCTATTGTATAGCAGAACGATACTTAGAGCATCAGATTGTGCCTCAAGTATAAGGTCTTAGTTTAGCGAATTGTCTGTTGAAAAGTATCCTTATCCAGGGAGCGCATGTTCCTACAGCGAGTAATCTTCACATTTGGACTGGGTATTGAGAGGTCCAAGCTCACAGAGATATGGAAGTGGTCAGAGAGCTGAAGATCCTATACACATACACAACTGACACACACGTCTGAAGCACGGGTAAGTATCCAGTCCAGAGTATGTCCACCTCTGTGGCTTGCCTCTGACACGAGTTGTGGACCTCACGAAGATTAAATATTCGTTTAGTGTCATGGTTATCCTTGTTGTCAAAATGGAAATTGAAGTCGCCTACGATGATAAGAGCTACTTCGTCAACTTATCCACTCTGTGCCGAGACGGTGCCGAGCAGTAATTGCTGCCAATGGTGTCCATACAAAGACTGACTCTGACGCCATCTTGTGGACTCAAGTAAACAGAAACACAACAGTAAAGGCTTTGTCTATAGACGTTTGAATTTTCACCTTTTTACCATTGGGTTTACATGAAATAATTGCCCTTAAACTAACGAAAGAAATTCTTTTTAAAATGGCTTATGCGTTTTTTACTGTGAAGAATATATTTCTGAATCGCAGTTTCATGTAAAGACCTCTTCTATAGTTGATAAACAGGGTAAGAAGTATATACTTTTTTCATAGTGTACTAGTTCTATATAAAATATATGATTTGTGCAGGAATGGGAGTTTTATTCATCATTATGACTTTTAGAGCTAAAAATAACTATTTTATGTACATTTAAGACTAAAAGCAACCTAAAAAGATCTGATGACTTACAGTATTTTTCCCACAGGCAAGAAGGACTCCCGCCCCCAACGAGTGATTGGCATGGGGTTGGGTTGGGGAGGGGGTGACAACCATTATTGCCGTGAGTATATTTCCGCATTAACCTCTTATTTGGTCACATGCTTTAAGAATTTAGGTAAATAGACTACTCATAAGAAGTTAAGACGGATTAACTAGAGCAATACGAAAACATAAGGTTTTCCTTAACTTCTCTGAGTAGTATACATGTAACGTTCTGTTCTATATGTATACGGGTTTGCTTTGCTTTTGTTCATTTCTCATACAGCAGTGTTTTAAACCAAATGCTTCTTATAGTTTACAAACAATTTGTGGATCGGGCATCTATGTAAACTCTGTCAAAAAAAGAAACGCAACCCCTGTCCTCAGATATGAAAAATTCGTTTGAATGAAGTTATTGCTTCCAAACTAAATTTTATTCGAATGTATTGAAATGATACACGTAATTAATGAAGATTACCATCCAAACAACTGCATGTGTACGCATAAGTGTATTTTATTGCTTATTCCGTCACAACGCATGAAATGACCCTCATGGTGACTTCGCACAAAAAAACCACATGCAAATCATGAAAATGGCAGTTAATGTAGGGGTGTATAAAAGCCCATGTGGTTCCGTATTATATTCATTCATTTGTCGCCGAAAAGCTGTGTTAAAAATGCCACGATTGAGTGCTGCCGACCGAAATATCGCCATTGGTCGTGTTCAAGCCGGAGAAAGTTTTGGAACTGTTGCACGGCACCTAAATGTTCACAAAACAACGATATCCCGACTTTGGAGCCGCTACAACAACTTCAATTTGACCAACGATCGCCCGAGAAGTGGAAGGCCAAGAATCACGACCCCCCCTTCAAGATCGGTACATCCGGGTCCATCACCTGCGTAATCGGCATGCCCTACCAACCGTGACTGCCACACAAATACCAGGTTTGAGGAGAGTGTCAGCTCAAACGATTAGGAACCGTCTGAAAGAAGCGGGTTTACGTGCCTGTAGACCAGTTGTTGGACCTGTACTACGCCCCTACATCGACGCCGACGACTCAGGTGGTGCAACAACGTAAGGATACGGACTTTACAAAACTGGAGGCGAATCTGGTTTTCTGATGAATCACGTTTTCTTTTGCAACGTCACGACGGAAGACAGCGTCTGTATAGGAGACGTCATAAACGTTTTGCGCCCATCTGCGTCCGACAGGTGGACAGATTTGGCGGAGAAAGCGTCATGGTTTGGGGAACCATCTCATACAACCAGAAATCAGACTTGGTGATCGTTCCAGGGAACCTGACAGCCCAACGTTACATCAACCACGTGTTAGAGCTTCACCTTCTCCCGATTATTGACCAACAGACACAGATTTTTCAACGGGACAACGCCCGGCCTCATACTGCACGTGCAACAATGAACTTTCTGCAGAATTCCAACGTCAATGTCTTGCCATGACCCCTCTAAATCACCAGACCTCAACCCTATTGAACACCTGTGGGATACTCTGGATCGACGCGTACGTCAACGTCAGCCGCCGCCACAGACGCTGCAACAGCTCGCCGTTGCACTGCAGGAGGAGTGGAGAGCCATTCCCCAGGAAAGAATCCGGCGTCTTATCCGTTCTTGTCCAAGGAGATGCCGTGCAGTGATTGCAGCGCGTGGTGCTCATACGAGATACTGAGAAAGACGCCCCCCTGGTGACAAACTGGTGTCTGTGAGATGACTTTTGAAATGACAATTTTAAACATGCCCATCTGGGTTATTATTCTGCCAAATTTCAGACTTCTGTCTTAAATAATAAAAATGCCGTGTCGTCCTAAAACTTCAGATCAAAATCTCTAAAATACAGGGGTTGCGTTTCTTTTTTGACAGAGTTTACTTATCTTATGTGTACATAACTGTTTGTGCAGAATTAACTACTCTGGGACAGGACTGCCTCCTGTGGAGACAGCGAGCTCCCCGGAGGACATCCACAGTGGAGCCAGTACATCGGAGGCGCTCCCAGAGAAGGTGGGGTAGGTGGAGTGGAGTTGTGGTCTGTGATGGGGGAGACTGTCGTTTGTGTGGTTTGAGTTCTGAGTGGAGTTTAGCCCCCTTTGGTGGTTGGATGTTGTATCCTTTAATAAATTAGATTTCAAGAGGAAAATGCTTCACTTTGAGGGCATCATCACCACCATCATCACCACCACCATCATCATCATCATCATCATCATCATCATCATCATCATCATCATCATCCATCATGTCTTGTAATGTATGCACTTGATATCTTAAATCAGGGGCAATTTTACAAGAGACCATAACACGTCAGAGACTCCAAGCTCCCCGGAGCTCCCCGTTCTGAACCAGCAGGAGATCCAGGCTTTCCACAGAGAGTCTCTCCTCGCCATGAAGGCCGCAGACAGGTCAGTCATAGACTGTGGTGTAGCAGGGAGTCAGTATTAAACATGATAGACTACCTTGCTTGAGTTACCGAGTGTCACTGACAATGACTTTGGACGATACAGATTCCATATACATGATTCAGGACTTCTCTGAATTTACTCACAATAGGACCGAAAATTCGATAGTCTAGTTGGCACCACACACTTTGCTGGAGGACAGATACCTTTCCAGCTCCATTTTCAAAATTAAATAATTATTTAGATAGAAGTATTACCTAAATATTTTTAACCAAAACCGCCTTGCAAATATGTCTCTTTTGTGCCTAACAATATTTTTTTCTAAGTTAGAAGCATAATCATCATTTCAGGTATTTTCGGGGACAATATGGTCTTTTTTCGATAAATTCCAAATATCAAGAGGTCTTTTC